TTCGAGTTTGTTTTATACGGCTTACTTAATAGTACGTAATTGGCACCAGCCATAGACACCCGCAACACCAATGGAGTTACAAATGTGTTGCAAATGGGTTTTTAGGATTTAGGGATTGGGAGAGGAAACAATTAAGACTCCGATAACCTCGCTCACAAAGTGAAACAGAACGCTGTAGTAGTTTCATGCAGGTTCTTTTGAAAGGCGGTAAGAGCCTGGCCGAACCGGCTCATCCGTGTCGAAGAATGAATCTCCCACATAGAAAAAATGAAAGAAAAAATAGAAAAAATGTTTATAAAGTCAAAGCCAAAATACCATTTCATTAAGAACCATTAAAAGTCACTTTTGAACGTCTGTCAGTCAGTCCTCCAATGAGTGCGTACGAGTATTTGTTTAGAGGTAAATGGCATATTCTGTATATTGTAATCAAATCTATTAGGAGTAGCTGTATAGAAATGCTTATTTATTTTGTCATAAACTTATTTATTTTAGACAGAAACACTTTATTAAAAGCACTGCTAATAATAACCGCCGTTGGACATCTTTAGCTACTCTTTCGCAGATAAATAAGTACTATACCAGTACGAGTATATTTTTCAACAACTTCAAAATACATTGACCCACATGAATGGCATGACATGTTTGTAATACAAAATCTGTCCTTGATACTGTTTTTAATATATACCAAGCTAACTATAAACCACGACTTCGATCATCTAAAAATTCAGAGAAATATGTTGGTACACACGTTTTTTTTATTCCAATATATGAAGATTGTATAGTATAATTCTATATATTTTAATCTATCTCTGTATTCAGCGGCGTCGCTATCCAGTCAGCCGTTTTAGCATAATTGTGTGACAAACATACACAGACACATTTAAATTTTACGATACGAAACTACTTTCGTTGTAAACATTTCTATAGGTGATTATTTGTGCCAAGTTTCTAGACGCTTTGATATGGTTTTTAAATATACGACAAAATAAAAACAGCTATTAAACGTTTTGATGGGAGACGTTAATTTTATTTAGATGCACTAGTTTTTGTCTGCGTCTCTGCCCTAGTTCCGAAAACCTTATTTTTTTAGTAATTCTTAAAAAAGAAACCTTATTCCACTTTTTGTGCGTTTTGAGGGGGAAATTTATCAAATGTTTCGGCGAGAGGGAATGGCAGATTCTTACTAACTAAAACCCACCACATTCTTACTCTTGCTTCAGGTCGATGACGTCAGAATGCAGATGCTTACGTATGTAGCTATGTGAAACTGTTTGTTTGTAAACTCACCTAAGATACAGGATTAAAAACAAAAAAAAAGAAATTTTCTTTAAAAAAAAAAATCTTATTTCAAATGCAATTTTCTATAAACAACAATAACTATAATTATACCTCCTTTTTCCCCAATAAATAACTTAATATCACACCACATTTAGTACATGAAATACTGCTCTAAAAATAAAAAGTAATCAAACCAAAAGCGGGATGGCAATCTAATTTCTCAAAAGTAATTTTGTTAGACTCAGACATAGACAAGACAGTTAGACCGTCGAGACATAATTTCCCATAGCGTTGTAGAGACTAAGTCTAGACTAAGACAGTGCCTGGAATCGATCCAGTGTGAACAAGGGGCTTAGGTCTTAGATATAGGAATGGACACTGGTTTTGTGCTAGTGTTAATACTGGGATCTCTCTGAAACCAAATGAAGTTATCGGTGATAAAATGGTTTAGGTTAAGGCTATAAATAAAATAGGATTTGTGTGTTGATGTTATGTTATATAGAACTCAAAATTAACTAAATGTTTAGTATTTTTTCTTGTCAAATATCTACGTCACTTACGGTGTTAGTATGGAGAAAAAGTGGTTTTTGTTTTTCGGATTTTGCTCGTTATTGTTTGATATTTTCCTGCCACTTAATGGATTTTCTTTCTTGCATTTCCATGTTTACTTGCTTCAAGACCATGATTAACTAATTTAGTCTAGCAGTTTCAGAGTATTACAAAGATTGAAACTGAGACAAACAAATACCAATAAGTATTTTTTTATTAATAGAACATAACAAAACTAATAGAAAAAATCAATAACACAAAAATAAACACGTACAAACACAATATCTCACGATAAAGACGTGTTTAATCAGACCAATTCTTTTTTGTTGTTTTTACTCCCATGTAAATTTTTTCATAGATATCATTTATCAAAGTTGACATTAGTTTAGAACATAACTTACTTTTTAACAAAGTTAAAAAAGTTATACTGAGAACTTCTTTACTAATAAAATGTCGCTACTAATAAGAAGCAACTCCAAAAACCAACTCTCACAATTAGGAAATAAAGTTTTTATTCAACTGAACTTTTCCTTTCTAAAATTTAATAATGAAGTATCAGTCTCAAATCAAGTACAGTGGGTCAAAATTCTTAAAGACGTGGGCAAAAAAATACTGAACACTAGTTTATCACAAATTCTATGTATGTAGTACACACGTCAAGTCATAAAAGTGTTTGTTATCGGCACCGCCGTACTTCCGTACATATGTTAAATAAAAGGAGTTTTATATGTTCTTTTTACTGCGTCGACGGCTATCGTAAATATCCATTAGACTAAATCAAGGATGTCACGGACTGATAAAACTGATTAGTTGGCCACCCCTGTCCGAGTGACTCGGTCTTCGGATTATTGAAAATTGTAAAAGAATTTTATTGTGCAGAGAGCATTGTTGATTTATGGTTTTAAATTTTATTTTAAAAAATAATATTGCCATGTCTTCTTTTAAAATGTTTACTTATTTTTGAATATGGAACTAATTCTGTTCCTGTCCGTCTAAGTCTCCTAGCTTATATGTATATGTAGGTATCTTTTTAAAATGTTTCATCTTGTTTAAGTAACATAATACAGGATTAATTTGGTGACATATTATTAGGACATGGTATACATAATGGTGCACATGACCAAGTTGAATCTTTTGATACGTCTTCTGTAGTCCGTCTACGAATTCGCAGCGCGTAGCAATCGTAGCACGTAACTCGTAGCGAACGTAGTTTTACAAAATCAAAATTACAATTAATCCATTTGAAGATTTCTTTTATCATTTTCAGATTCTGAATGTATCAGGCTTCTTTTATTTCTTCTGGAGTTTTCCTATTTACTTTCGGGCGTTAGTACCATGCATATTTATGTTTAGGAAGAAGTCATTAAGTTTGGTAGTCATTACAGGACAAGGTAAAACTATATTCTGCGTGCATGCATCTTATAGCTGATATGATGTGATAAACGTAAATTTAATAAATTTATTAAAAAGGCAGATGTTTTATAAATAACTCAAAGATTAATTAATAACACTTCACTGGTAACTCATTAGACTCTAAACAGGCGGCGATTAATCGGATTACATAATAATGTTAACATAATACCTCTATGCATATGTATATTATGTTGCATGCACATAGTGGATTTGCTAGTTTCATGGAACGCTTCAGTATTTCATTGTTTCGCTGTATGGGTGAGGTTACCGGAGGCCAAATATTTCCCCTACCCCAATCTCTAAATCTCCAAATACCTAGTCGTCAAAAGGCAACGCACTCCTAAATCCCCTGTTGTCCATGTGCAGCGCTATTGCTTACGAAAATAATCAAATAATCTTAACGAAATATTTTTCCTATTTTGAATTTCTGAAACCATATTTTGTGTGGCCAATAGACAGTCAAGAAGCATTTTATGGATTAAGCAAATCTACTTCGCGGCTACGGCACGTAAATGCAAGAAGCAGTACCTACTCTGAAAGATTCAGTCATTATTATTCCCGTGTATCGTTTTTTGGGATTTTACTCTTGTACTTATATATTTTATCGAAAATAATTAGGTAACGGTTTAATAGCTTTTATACCAAACTTGAAGATTACTCACTTGAGTTAATCTTCATCCATTTTCTACTATTGTTTACTTAGACTTAATACTTTCCGAATTTTATACGTCAGTTCATTGGTTACAATAAGTATATAGAGAGTCTACGGACTATTAACAGATGGCAGCACTGTTTACGAATAGCATGGAACAGAAAATTCGTTGCGGAGTTCCAGATTACATATGTATGTAATCTGGAACTCCGCAACGAATTTTCTGTTTTAAGTTCCAGAAGGAAATAACAGATGGAGCCTCTAATACATTTTTATCATTTATTGTAACTTACAGTCTCGTTGTTTAGGTAGTTGCACGCGTAATAGTCAGCTTATGGTATCGGATTAGATTTTCCAGGTGATCTAATTATTATTGTATTTATAAACTTCGTGATATCCCGACACTGCAACGAGTAAATGTATTGTATTTGTAACAGCACTTTGCCGACCCCTTATAGGAATGAAAGGAGTAATTAGCATTCTTAAATAAATTGTTTTAACTCAACCATAACATACAAGGAAAAATAAAAGTCAAATACAATTTTAATCCTTTTATTATAAAATTAAATTATACTTACATACTATATAATAAGTAATAGGATTAAGCAAAATATAAAATCTATAATAATTTTAATATAAAATATTTTTGTAATACCTAGCCGTATAATATTATACGATATATGCTTAAGAAAGATCACACTGACTAGATTGCCACACCCCTCGTCTGTTTTCAATTTATTTTGCTATTAGAGTGATTATAACTGGTCCATTTTATAACAATAATATAAAAGTAATATATTTATATAACATAAATATAAATATATATAAATAATAACTCATAAATAATCATAAAATAAAATATATAAATACAATACGTTCACTTAATAAATGTAAAAAGTATTAAATATAAATACCTAATAATATTAAGAATAAATTATAATTACTATAAATAAAATAAATATATATTTTATATTTAATATAGTAATAAATATGTAATATATTTTGACCTCCATTATATATTCATATATAAATATATATAAAACAATTTAATAAACTATAAATAAATACATATATGGATATCAAAAATAAAATTCGTATTACATGCAATGTATAATTTTTGAACCAGTTATATCACTATAGAACAAAAACAATAACTTTTAGTTAATCACAATACACAAAAACATTTTTTTAACGGGAATCACGGAAATGCCACCACATATGAAATTACGAATCGTTCACATTCAAATTGTTAGTATGTCAATGAATCCATTAATCAGGGCCAAAACTATATCATTATATATATAAATAATAATGTCAATATATGAAATACACAGTGTTAATACTAGTCTGGGACAACCCGTTAATTTATGGGAAATATAAATAAAATATATTGTCTAAATAAATATAATAGAGTTAGTTACAGAACATAAATAAATATATGTATAAAATATAATTGCTGAAAATATTTGGTAATTTTTAATTTCCTATCTAAAAACTAAAGCTATTAAATATATATAATTTTAATAATAATATAATAATATTACATTTTACTTAAAATAATTTATTAATTACATCTAAAAATTCTTTGGTAAGCTAGCTGTGTTCATGAGCATTAGTAAAATTCCGAAATAAATACTTCGGATCGCCATTAATATTCGATTTATATACAGAGCGTATAAATTAATCGTATAATGTATAAATTAAATACTAAAATATAATACAGTTAATCCAATTATTAATATGTATATATTTTGTAAAAGTATTATTACAATTATAAACTTTATTTAAGAAAATATAATTTATGTTGCTATTTTAACGGCTTATTACTTTTAATATAAGTATAAAAAATTAAAATCAATTCAAGCTAATAAAAGAACATGATTTACTACGAAGCCTTAATTAAAAAATACATAGGAACTTAGTCCCCAAATAAAATAAATTAACTTAAAACAAAATATAAATTCGAATACTACCAATAATATTATTAATTTAGATTAAAAATCCCTTATTATTATATCAAATTGGTAATTTACGATTTAATCAAATACTTTCGTGTTAATTTAAATTTAAAGTGTTCTCGTGCGATTTCTTATTACATTTGTAATTACTAATGTGTATTTAATCGTAATTTAGTGTATATATATATTTACATATTAATTATAAATCGGTAAATCCATGATGCTTTTCGATTTCTTGAATATTGTCCAAATCCTCGGTGCCTGTGATGATTTGCAATACCCTGAATGCCTTTGACTGTCGCGGGCGCCCTTCTTGTGTGAATTTATGGTAGTATACACTGAAAATATATATTATAATTATTATTTTGTTACGATTTTAAACTCTCGTTTTAGTTGTATAGCATGATATTGTCAGTATGATGTTTATATATGTAGAAAAATACAATTTTTAAGGCAAGAAATAAGTATTATTTTTGTTTAGCTATGATTTTTTTTGCGTTTAACTTGTTTTGTTTCGAATGATGATTTAGTTTTGCGGTTATTTGTTCAAAAAAATACAACGTAATATAAAACAAAATCCAATCGAGTTAAAAGCGCATTTACACCAAGCAACAGGTGTAATCAACAATATTACAAAAGCCGTGACCTGTCGATGGAGTATTAGAAATCGTGATGAACCTGCGGTAACCAATTAATTACGGCAACAGCATTTGAGAATGATTCGATTAGTGGAAAATAAAATTAGAACGTGTTGGAAGAGTTGCTAAATATAAAACAAGCGAAACACTGAGTCACTACGAAGCTGTGCAGTAAAACTGTTTACATTGAACCAGTAGCTCCTTTAATACCGCCCACCGAAGCTGAAACGAGGATAGACAATTGTAATGTGATAGGTTTTGTTTGGAGATATTTCAATTGTACAATATTAAATATGGCGACATATAATCGTATATCAATGCTACAGTTGTCAAAAAAATATTTTGATATTGATTTTAAGTAGACTAATCTTCTACCAGTAAGTAGACAAGTCTTCTTTTAGAACGTCAACATGTAAATGGATTGAAGATTTGAACTGATAATCAATTTTGCAACTAGTGTGCCTCTGGTGTAGCATGTAGCAACTTTGTGTGCACTGTAAATTAAGTTTTGCCATTGAATAGTCTTAAAAAATGCATATATTTACCTCTTGTTCGCCCCTCCATTTCCACCTTCAATTTGAATTGGTATTATTCTAGTCTTAGGCTGACTGTCCTGGAAAGTTCTGTTCAAGGTCGGCAGGTCTGGCTGCTGAACTGAATCTTCTAATCTCACCAGTTGAGGTGACAAAACCCTCATAATGCGCTGAGTAGGTGGTGAGAATGGTGCACGAGCTTGGTCTGGATTCGGATTCATACCAATCGTAATCCTCAGACCGGGTTGTGGATGACCACCCTGTCTAGAATCCCTAGTCTCCGTCGTCGACACTTCCATTTGGATAGGAATGACTCTTGTTCCTGGAGAACCAGGCCCATTATCCCTTGGCAAACTCTTACGGTTTTCTGAAGGTCGCGTTGACCATGAAGGTTGTACTGGTTGCTGGTATTTGGGAGGGCTGATCACCTCACGAGCACCTCTTTGCATTTCATTACTTTTTCTAACCCATTCCGGCTCCTGGTTCGTTTCCCGTGGAGGTGTGTTTAATTCCCTAGATAGACTCTTCCTGCCTTCCAGTGGTCTTTGCACCCAAGTTGGAGGAGGAGTCTTTGTCTTTTCCTTCTGTGTTTTTACCCAAGGAGGGATAGACTTTGGACTTTCAGGACAGAAGTAAACTGGTTCCTCGTTTACGTATACTACCTCTTTTTGTGGAGCATTATTGTATTCATGCTGTTGGTTTTGTTTTCTAGGTGTAACAGGGATAGACATTGTCGATTGGTAACGAGGTTGCTCCTGTTGCTTAGGTGGTGAAGGTGCCTCATGACTCCTCCAAGGTGCAGAGTTATTCTCCTGAACCCGATTGTTGTTGCAGTCCTGAGAATTGTTGTTTACCCAAGGAGGAGTGTACTGCTGCTGTGGCTTATTTTCCTGTTTCCATGGAGGAACGTAAGCGTTCTCGTTGTTTGCGTTCGCATTATTGTTCTGATTAACTTTCCAAGGAGGAATATACTGTTCTTGATTAGAATTCACATTATTATAGACTGGTGGCTGATGCTCTTGCTCTCTTGGATGTCTGTTTAGAGTAGCTGTCCTCCAAGGAGCAGCATTCGTCTCGTTTTGTGAGCTCGGTTTCGTGTTGTTATACATCACATTGTTACTTTGTGGTTCCGCGTTTCTCTGTCCGACTCTAGGTAAGGTGTGGAAGACAGAACTTGAGTTAGACGGCGGACTTTGATTTTGGATGTTAGGAGAATACTGCTGATTGTTTGGTGAGTATTGTTGTGTGTTTGGTGAAAACGGACTACGATTTGAATGTGCGGACTGTGGACTATTTGTATTTGCTGGAGAATCCCTTTTCTCTGGTTGGCGCCAGTTGTTGTTTGGACTAGGTGAAAATGGAGAACTGTTTGAGGAAGGTACACCAGCATATGGTTGAGGACTCTTATTAAACTGAGAATCCTGTCTTTGTAATACTTCTCTCGTCGGTGGCGAGCCTTGCGGAGAAGAAGACTGCTGGTGAGCATATTGTGCTTCAGGTTTATAAATGGGACTCTCAGGATTACGCTGATTACCATAACCACGTTGGTAGTTATTATGTGAAGGCGGTGTGTAAGTATGTGGCTGTTGCTGACTAAATGTAGAAGGTGGCATTTTCACCGTCAGAGGGCTTGGGACTTTTTCTACATACTTGGGCGTGTTACCCAACTTTTGTAGTTCAGCCTTTTCAGCTTCCCAGTGGTAAGGGCTATTCGTTTTTCGTAACATTCCTATCGGATTTTCGGGGATTACAATTTCGGGGCGTTCACCGGGTGCAATAGGTTTTGGAGATTTTGAATTTGGAGCTTGAATAACGATCGGTGGTGGTGGGGGTGGAACAGGCATTTTGGGTGGTGGAGGCGGTGGGGGAGCTGGCCCCCCTTGTGGATGGTAGCCGCCATTTGTGGGCTGCTGCTGCTGTTGCTGTTGCTGCTGCTGAGCATACTGCTGATCTTGATGGTCTTCGTATGATCGCTGTCTTGCCAGTCGTCTCGCCATACTCGGCGTGCGAATCTGAGACAGGTCAAGGCCACCTGGTGTGTATGTGAAGGGTTTTTTGTCCTTTGTCATCATCGCATTCTGAATGCATGCTGGTGGCTCGACGGCACCCATTGGCTGGAAATTACAATATTTTATTATTATAATTTATTACACAACTGATTTTTTCATATTCTTGTCATTCAATTTAAACGGTAGAGGACAATTTCAGTCATGCATCTTATACAAATACCAGAGCAATAGCAGAAACGTTCTGGAACGCCCATAGAAATAATAAGACATTATAAATAGAACATGAGAGGAAACGAATTTAAACCAATACTTTTAACTTTATTATCTAACTCTAAACTTTCCCAATGCTCTGTATCTGCTCAGTCTCACAAAACCTTCGTAAAATATCAAAATATGAAACTTACGTTGACATGCGTTTTTCCGAAGTTGGGAATTCTGCCGATGTGCCCGCCTGGACCGTACCTGGAATACAGCCAAAAGTTTGCGTTATTTTTACATGGTCTGACATCGTGGACACTTGCTTACTGGCCGTCGAGGGCGACTGCTTTAACCTATTCCACTTTTAACCCAGTTATCCGGAAACTCTTGTGCGTTTACTAAAATAGAATACTTTTATTAATCTTGTATCTGTGTTCCCATTCCTTGTATATCTCAGTAAAGATTTATGTTTCGTGGTTTTGCATAATGTCCAAAGACATCCATTTTGGAATCCGAAACAATAACATAACTGATGCCGAGTTTAACATTTCTCAATATTTATATTAATCATCGCTGGAAAATCGCATTCAAAGAATACAGAAGTTAAAAATACTTTACGTAGAAACTTTAAAAGTAGTTCGGAAAATGTCTTACCCGTTTTCAGCCATTTTATTCGATTTGCGATGCAGTCAGCAGTCCATACAACGTTCTCGTTCCTGTGGAATGAGATCACAGCTCGTAAAATGTGTAAACACATGTTTTACAGAATCCTCGCCTCTCGCATCATGATCTACACCATATGCTCAGATCGGCCAAGGTCGGAAGCTAGGTGAAAGTCTATTTATGGAAACTGGAACAGTAATACGATGCAGTTTGGAACTTCTTGCATTTTGAGTGCGTTCGTCTGCGATTTTGTTATAATTTATAATTTATATTCTAAATTGTTTTTGTTGGAAAAATTTTGTTTAGTCTTGGTGATTTAAAGTAAATATTTTTTTTTAGGTTCTATCCTCATTTTTGTATTTACCAAAAATATATATGTACTATGTATCATAAATGCATTATCATACCGTATGAGTTTTTCTACATAGGCAACCTTTGTTTCTGTTTTGCATCTAGGTAGGTACCTCTTAGTTACACTGACATGGAATTTTGTTAAGTCTTTTATAAAGGTCTACGTTCATCGATTTTTGAGGGGTTTCGTAGTGAGAGGTAGAAAGTTTATAAATTAACACACACTTTATTTATAATACACAATATAGGTACTCGTACATATTATTTTCCGAGTTATTATATTATGTTCTATGATTATTTACACACCACTGACAAACAGTAAAGGAAAGCATCGTGAGGAAACCTGGACTTATAATTTCTGATTATAAGTTGAAATCGCCAATCCACCTTGAGCAAGCGAAATGATTAATGCTCAAACCATCTCCGTATGAGAAGCGGCCTTTGCTCAGCAGTGGGCACTCATAAGCTGATCATGTATGTTTGCGCAACAATATAGGTACGACTTTCATTCTAAACGTCTTTAACAGAGCCAAGTATTCGTCATCACCGTCACCGTCACAGATAATAAACGTCCTAACTGATGTTGCAATTAGTCACAGAGGATATTGATGCCCATAAACCAATGATGCCAGACATGGTATGCACATAGAATTTTGGCACTCTCCATATAATTATAGTGCATGGCTTAGAGCCAAAGTTATATATAGGATCAAACTACGCCTTCCCATTCCTTCGCGTTTAATCTTCATAGTTCTTTTTAGTTTGTATACTATTGTAATGACGGCCAAGTAGACAAAGTTTTTAACCATTTTTCACGCGTTTATTTTTTTATGTAATAGGTCGGCAAACGAGCATACAGATAACCTGATGGTAAGCTATCAGCGCCGCCCATGGACACTCGCAACGGAGAAGTAACGAGTACCTTTTAGGGATTAGGGTTTTGGAGATTTAGAAATTGGGCAGGGATCGGGGGAGGGGAAGGATTGGGCCTCCGGTAACCTCACTCACATGGCGAAACACAACGCTGTGGTTGTTTCACGCCGGTTTTCTGTGAGGCCGTGGTATTCACAGTATACACTCTGGTCAAACCAACCCATTCGTGCCAAAGCATGGCTCTCCCACATTACGCGTCAGCTAGGGGACTATACACATACAGGAACCGAAAGGCAGCGCTCTCTGATAAATCTAAATTTAATTATCTTAGATCTCCAATCTGTGAACCATAAATGGAGATTTCAGCGTCCATTTTGTGCAAGAGACTAATAGTTAAGACGACGCAAATGGCGATGGATCGATAACAAATTTCGAAATGATCCAGTCCACATTCATAAAAAAACTTGAACTGATATCCCCAGGGGAAAAGAAACCATTGTGATAGTAGTAGAAGAGAACGAAGCTCAAGACTAGTCAAGATAAAGGACCTCCGTGGTCGCCTTCTGCCCCAGAAACATAGAGGCTTTAAGTCAAGTAAATCGAGTACAATAAAATATGTAAGTAGTTGAAACCAAATGGGTACTCCAGATAGGTATATAGGTACTATATGTGTGGGAGAGTCATGCTTCGGCACGAATGGGTCGGCTCGACCGGAGTGATACCACGGCCTCACAGAAAACCGACGTGAAAGCACCACAACGTTGTGTTTCGCCGTATGAGTGAGGCTACCGGAGGCCCAATCCTTCCCCTCCCCCAATACCTAAATCTCCAAATCCCTAATCCCTAAAAGGTCGGCAACGCACTCGTAACTCCTCCGTTGCGGGCGTTCATGGGCGGCGTTGATTGCTTACCATCAGGTAATCCGACGGCTCGTTTGCCGACCTATTACATAAAAAAAATGTTAGTTTAAATATCCCAAATTAATTTTCTCCGCATTATTTTTAATGCAGCGTGACAAAGAGTGGGCGTAAAAGAAAATGGCGCGTGTTGCAGTAGGAAAATGTATTGGTGTTGTCGTTATAGTTATTCCAGGGCCAGTTATTATTGTACACTCAGTTGTATTTAAACAGAAACAACGCAGTACTATGTATACATATACTACATAGCTATACAGTATATATTACTTAGACCTGCGTTACTTGAAAAAAGAACAAAACAGAACAGTTTTTTTAGAACAATAATGTTTTTTTTAAAAAAAAGCAATGTAAGACGTGACAATTTTTTTAAATATATATATAAATATAAATATAACGTAACGTTTATTATTTACTTTTTATCCCTAAATTAAAAAAGTAAGTCATGTCTTTAACTAGTATGCAACTTTTTTTAATTTTGTAAGTGCTTATTGGATGAGTGCGTGCCATTATACGATGATACATGGTAGTGATTGTTTGTTGAAATTTTGCATATGGATAGATTGTAGTCTTGAATATAGACTACCTTTATCTAGGCACTGCTAGCGAAGGTCCTGGCAGGATTTAGTAAATTTAGTTCAAACAATTGATATTTTAGACTAAAATTTACAGTTAGAGTGGAAAACCCAAAGATCAGGGAAAACATGTAGATTTAAAGAAAATAAACATTTAACAAATACATTAGAATTAAATAAGGAATAAAAATTGCTTTGATCATACAGCAAAGGTGTGAGTAAATAGGTTTATTAAGCGAACTAGGCTAGGCAAAGAGGCAAGGCGGTAGTGGGCGCCCTACACGGTTTTACACATACCAAACAGATGATATTTAATAAACAGTCTTTGTTTTTTTTAAATGCAAACTCAGTCTACAGGCATGATCAGAATCGTGTCATTTGAAGTAACATTGTTCCGTGTATACACACTATTAAATTTTAATTGATTCATTACTTTAAAAATTATAAATTATGACGAGTAAAATTTATATTACTCACCAAAAAATATTTAGTGTTACTAACAAATTTAAAAAAAACAAACTGAAAAACGCTTAAACTAAAAAATAAAATTTATGAATATCTACAATTATGATACACCTCCATCCTAAGATATAATCAAAATCATAAAAAAATAACACATCCATCACGAGATTTTTATTTATCAATAGAAAAAAAATACAAAATAAAAAATCCTAACACGAATTCTTTTAAAGTTCTTTCATACAATCCTAAATAATCCAAGGTCAACGTATACAATCCAGTACGAAAGCTTCGTACCTTCTCACCTGCGCCGGCGCACGGCCCAGTTGCACGTCCTCGGCTAACAATAGTCCGTATGCTGCGCGTGCGCACCTCGCCAACGTTATCATAAGTTTCATAACAGTGCGAAGTATAATGATGAAAGGAAGATGATTTGTTACTTTTTGTGTGTTTATTTTTTATTAATTTGTTTTATCGAGTTAATTTTGTTGTTTGAGAGATATTATTTTGTAGATACATAAAATAAAACCAAGAAAGCCGAGCTACATACGAAATGAACTAACAATAAAAACAAATATTAAACATATATGTATGTCGTAGTTACTCCACATATAAATAAATCCAACTAATATTATAAACGCGAAAGTTTCTAAGTGCGGGTGGATGGACGTGTAGGTGGATGTTTGTTACTCTGGTGCATAAAAACTATAAAACGGAATACTGACATTTTCACAAACATAGATTCGTGTCTGAAATATCGCAAACATTACTTTGTATCATGGTTCTGGTGGTAGCCGCTGGCAGAAGCTAGAGGTACCTTATTGTTTTTATTACCTTTAATTTATGAGGTCTTTAATAATAAGTGTTTACCTCATGACCCCATAAATGATAATGGCATCATCGTTACAAAACCCGGAACCAAAAAATAAGTAATGTTAATAGAAGCGAATAAAATTATATCATTCATTATTGCAATTTTCGTTTACAGCTTTTTACCATGCTAATAATAAACTAAGTGATTTGTTTATTTTATTTATTCTTTATTGCTTATTTACACATCGTTTGAAAATATAGTATTTTTTTTCGTTTTGTTGTGGCCTACAGATTAAGGCCGCTTTTCGTGCATGTGGCTGCGAATACGAAACCTGGCAAGTTCCAATGTTACATTATCCGTGTTACTTTCTAAGTTTATTGAGACACTAATGACAAATAGTGAAGAAAAACATCGTGAGGAAACTTAGACTTATAATTACTAATGACTTTGAAATCACCAAAAATAATTTCCCCTGTATGTCAAGTCAGTCAAGCGACATCGATTTAAAATAAAAATCACAAGAAAATATAACCATGATGAATATTATTGGAAATACTGCTACATAAATTAAATTTATTATCAAATGTTCAGAGTAGTACATAAAATAATTTTTAAAATGAGAAACGATCTGCAGTTTTAGATTAGTATTAAGATTCACCTTCAAATACCTGATTACTTTTATAGAAAAATAACTATGCAATTCAAACCATTTTCATTATTTAAAAATAACAAATGGTTTTCTTACAATACAATACAAAGTACTTAACTTTAATCGGTATCCCGTGGAGCGTGGAAAAAGGCCCTAAAAGAAGCAATAAATAACAAGAAAGCAGCTCGGTGCTTTTGAAAAATATAAGCACTTTTGATTTTATATCCACCTTTCACCATAATTGTTATCATAACGAACCAAATGTAAATCATAGAGTTGACAGAGACCCGCGCGCGCCTAAAAGAGCCAATAGATCACCACAGTGGGGGCCCTATAGAGCTGATGTTCAGCCGGTGTTGCGGGGTAAGCGTAATGAGTCACCGCAACATCGGCCCAGACCATGAGAAGGAACAGGAGT